ATTTTCCATTTTTCTTGATTTTCCAACTTTCCAACTTTCCAACAGCCAATTAAATTTAAAAATCTAGCATTTCATGAATTTTCATTCAATTTTCCGCTAAAAACTCAGAAATTCCGGACCTTTCAGTATCCATTTCAATTCCCCGCAAAATTCCTCACTTTTCAAACTCAAAACATCATCTACTGACTTTTCCTCGAAATTCCTTGAAATCCTAAAAGTGCATGAATTTCCATTGAATTTTCCCCTAAAACCCATGAATACCCTATCTTTCAGTATTCACTACAATTTTCAAAAAAATCCCTGAATCCCCAAACTCAAAAATGCTACCTCCTGCCTTTCTCCCGAGATCATTCCTATTCCTCAAAACTTCAAAAAGAAACGAAAAAAATGTGCAAAAGAGCCAGTGGCTAATTCGCGAGTAAATTTGAGGTTGAGTTGGATCCTCTGGTTTGGTTGGTGGCAGGATCTGGTCCTCTCCACCCCAGCATTTCAACTCTCTCCCTCATCCTTTTATCATCCAACTCCAACGATTTCAATGTCTCTCTCTCCAACAACTAGTGAATTCGTAGCAACTGACGTATCCTCTCTACTTCTGCGTTAACCGCCTACTCGAGAATTCCCGCATGCGTCCCTCAACTCTTCCCTCCTGTCCCCTGCCCTCCCACTATCTTCTAGACCCCCTCAATTCCCTTTACCCCTCTCTCACACTCTCTCGTATCTCTCGTATCTCTCGTACTCTCCCTGCATGAAGAGAGAACCCATGAGTAAACCCGTTGGTGTTGTTGTACGTCTGCAACGCCCAGTCCGCCTCTTCGTTTCGCTTTTATATATATTTCCTCTCCTCTCCTCTCCTCTCCTCTTCTATCCTCTTCTATCCTCTTCCATCCTCTTCTCTCCTCTCCTCTTCCACAGGGACTTGCTACCAACCGTTCCTCATTAACAGTGATGAACAGCTCCCCGAGACCAATTTCTGACCGCCTTTATTCCCTTTTATTCCCATTATTTACATTATTTACATTACTTGTATTACTTGTATTACTTGTATTACTTGTCTTTTCATTGGTGTTAACTAATCATTTTTCTATGCTATTAGTGATGATGCTGATGTACCAGTTCCCTAGATCCTCTCAAATCTAGTCTCTCCGATCAATCTCTGATTCTTTCAATTTCTTATTTACTCTCATTTACATTATCATTCAATAATGATTTGACTGATGTCAGTTCCCTAGATCCTCTCAAATCTAGTCTCTCCGATCAATCTCTGATTCTTTCAATTTCTTATTTACTCTCATTTACATTATCATTCAATAATGATTTGAATGATGTCAGTATCATTCAATAATGATAATGTAATAGTTCCCAAGATCCTCGAAAATTTCCAAAAACTGTCTGAATAAGATGAATAGATATCCAAGATCTTTAGACCGGACATGTGATTTTTTTAAATTGAATTTTCTAGTCAATCAATAATTATTTTTCCACATATTCGCTTCCTAGATGACAAAAAAACTCTCACCCCCGAAAAAAAAACGAGACCAAAATTTGTTTTCCCCGCAGTCCCCGATGACCATCCCCGGGCCTTAATAAGCTGAAGGACTGAAAACTCCTCGAAATTTTCCGGAAAACCAGAGAATCCCTCAGTTCCCTCTCCTCAATCAAAAAAATTAAAATAAAAAAATCCTCACTCATAAATCCCCCCATCACCCCAACGACAACCCCAGCATCTCCAAGGGTGATTTTTCCCCGCGCCCTAACGAGAGCCCCCAGGATCACCCCTCCGGAGAAAGGACGGGGGTAGATGGAAACGCTAAATCTTTGTTGATGGAAAATCAGAATAAGAGGAAAAGGAAAACCGAGAGAAATGGTAAAAGTGGAGAAAACGAGAGAAGAAAGTTATATAGAATCGATTCCTTTTGATGGCGAGCCAACTTTCGTGGTGGTACTGACTGCGGCCAGAGGGTGGAAGAGGTGGAAGAGGTGGAAGAGGTGGAAGAGGTGGAAGAGGTGGAAGATGTGGAAGAGGTTGAAGAGGATGAAGAGGAGGTGGGTTGGATAAGGGGGGGCAAGGGGGGAGGGTAAAGAGAGAAAAGGGGGGAGTAAAAAGAGGTGGGGAATCCAGTCGCGCAATTTCCTCGGCTTACCCAGGCTTTTTCTCTATCTCTCTCGATTCCCCTTTCATCTGGCCCCTCGCGAGATGCGACGTACATAGAAAAAAAAAAAGAATGAGAAAAAAAAGCCCGAGTAACAGGACAGAAACGGTACGAAAAAAAGGTGGGAAGAAAAAGGGAGATACTCCTGGATGGTGGAACGTGAAAAGAACAGGAAAGAGAGAGCCCTATATTACACACTGTACAACCGGGACTGATCGTCGTTGGCATATACCTGGGGCATCAGGACGTTCCATTTGCGTCACGGCTTGCAACGTAATTACGCTTCCTTGTTCAGGACGTATAATAAAGATGCCGTCATTTTTACTGCGGGATGGTAATTCTTTTGGGGTTTTTTAATGCCTTTTTTGTTCTCAGGTGCCATTGGCAGAACTTTTAACTCCGGGATGACAATTTGGGGGAAATATTCAAGTGATTGGTGATCCTCTGGATAGTATGGATTAATGTTTAGACTGGTAATCTAGGGCCTAGATTCTAGGCCCTAGAACGGAAATTGACCCAAAAATTCTGGTAATTGGTAATTAATCGAATCATAATTGGGGGAAATTTCCAGATTTTTTTTTGAAATTTAATATCACCTGCAAAAATTGACGTTTGGGTTTTTGCGGTTTGTGAGATCAATTATAATTTAGCATGAAATTTTCAAGATATTGATGAGAAATTTGGTGAGAGTTTGAGTGATTTCTGATTAAAATTGATTTCAATCTGACGTAATAAAATTCAGATGATTGACTGAAGTTTCTTGTAATTTCTAACAGTATCTGTTAATAAGCTGTAACAATTTATTGGGCTTGGGTACAATGGCCGGATTGGCTTTGTTCTTGTCGATGGGATGGCGCATCCGACTTCCATTCTCGATGCTAACATCAGGAGTGAAGGATTTAACGAGAATGAGGCACCCAAGAACTGGAGAAATGTAAGTTTAGAGCTGTGTGACCTTCTTGGAATGTCTCTCTGCCGACGGGTTTGTTAGCAGGTAGAATAATCGTAGAGGTGGGGGGGATGGACCCAAGACATTCCAAAGTCTCCAGATACGTATGACGTTCATCAGTCGTCAAATATCGTTGATTCACAAGTTTTTAGAGTATATTCCCCGGTTGTGAAAAATTATTCTAATCACATTTCATTTCCCTTGGAAATTCACTATCAATTAAATTCAATAGACTTCATTTTTTTAATCTCTTGGAGAATATGACGGCAACGTCGAAAAGTAATTAGATTATGAGAGAAAAATCGTGGGGGAATGGAAGGGTTCGGTAGAATCCAAAATTTCAAATTCCCCAAAATTTTCTATTTTATCGTGAAAATTTCTTTCTTTCATAATCATTTAAAATATCCCCCCAATTTCAATTTTTTCCGCAATTTTGATTATTCAATAGACCGATCCGAGTTGCAAAATTTCGAAAAAATAAAAAAAATCGGTGACATTAATTTCATATGAATTTCAGATTGTTTTCAGATGAAATTTCCCAAATAATTTTATACTTTTCAGAATTTCCAATTTTCAGCACTTCTTCCCTCAAATAGAATTTCCCTTATTACCGTAACTTTAATTATTCAGTGGACCTGAAAATCCGAAAAAAAAAATGTGCAAAAATTCAAAAAAAAAAAAAAAATCCCCTGCCATAAATTTCACATGAATGTCAAGTTGTTTTCTGGTGAAATATCCAGAATAATTTTGTCACACAGTGAATAATTCCCCCAAACAAATGGACATTTCAGGGGAATAAATTTTTTTCCCCAGTGGAGAGGAAATTTTCAGCACTTCTGGCCTCGACAAATAAAATTTTCACAAGCCGAGAATGAAGGCAGCTGTACAGAATAACATCGGTGCAGCGGGTGAGACGCTCGATATTTCAGGCGGTCGTCCCGTAATATATAGGAGAAACAGGGGGGGGACCAGGGGGCGAGAGGGAGAACGAGGGGGTGAAAGAAGGGGGAGGGGCGGGGGGGAGGTAGAGGAGGACGAGGGTGAGGGCAAGAAGTAGAGACGGAAGACGAACGCGTTGTAACGCCGACGCGGTGGTCCGTGTGGTTCACTTCGCTTCGTTTCCAACAGCGGTGAGAGGATATACAAAATATACCATGTCCATTGCATCCGATCAAAAGCCCAGGCAAAATCAACATCAAAGATATCATATATATCTTATTGGAATGACCTATTTTACCGCACGTCTTTATTTTTCATTCCAACTGTCACCGAATTTACCGCGCGACATCTTCAAATTGCGGAAAATTTCGAAAAAGATATCTGAATTTTTTATTGAATTAATTGAACTATATTTATTTGAATGAAATGAAAATCAAATGTGGCGATCAATTTGGGGTGAATAATTGATTTGTCGGTTGGAACTGGAATTTTCATTTTTGTTTCTCCCGAATTTTTGATCGATATGAAATTTAAATATTCAATATCGATTTTCTAATTTTTAATTGTGATTAATTAATAGGAAATTAGTGGAAACGTTGGGGGAATTATTGCGTGAGTTTTCAATAGTTTTGTGGTTTTTGGGGGATTTTTTAATGTAGATCTCGAAATTGAGGATTGGTGCGGATTATTTAATTTAATTGGTCGAGGAAATGATAAAATTGAAAATTCATATAATTCGGTGGTTGAGAATTTCCCGCGACTCAGTGAAAACTCATGAATGTTATTGAATTGCAACGGAAACTTCAATTTTCATAACTATCTTTCCTCTAAATTTAATTCAATTTTACCCTCTCGAGAATTATTCCCACATTTTCCATTAAATTACGCTACACTCGTTTATATAAAAATGCGATATCCACTTGCTAAAGAATTGCGAATAATAATTAAATTCATTGACTCACTTCGGCAGTTGAATTCATCACACGGAAGTTGTTCCTTGGGTTCCTGGCATTTTTCAATTCTGAAACAATAAATTTTACAGTTGAAGCATTTTCAATAGTTAATTAGGGAGATTTTAATGACTATTGGTGAATATTGACAGATTGTCGTTACTGAATAAATAATTGAAGACAGAGAACTCATGAAATTTGTTATTTTATTACAATTCCAGTGAATTTTCCAGTGACTTTTCCAAGAAATTACTTGAATTCCTAGTTTTCTCAGTTATTCCATCACATTTTTAATTCAAATGAATTCCAATTGTTTTAGGATGTCTTCAATTAAAAAAAAAAATGAGAATATCAAAACCAATTGATTTCATATGTCAATCAATTAAATTGCTTAATCGGTTTAGATTCTCCCAAAAATTAAATTATTCATTGATTACTGATATCAATGGGTACGAATAAAATTCTGTTGTAAAATATTATTGTATTTATCTCGTGGTAGAGGTAAATTCAATAATTCGGAAAGAGGGCATTGCTATCCGCCAGTTGTAACGCGTTTGAAACACTAGATCAATAAAGCCACCACCTTTCCAACACACGCATCTACATTCTACAATCACCAACTTATGCTTTCTACTTGCATCTAACCCTCTTCCTCAGGTTCTCAATCTGTACACGAAACATCTCTCGTGCGCACACAATTCTCGTGGCCAAAATTCCTTTCGTAATTTTCCCATTTTCCCCTCTTCTTTCAATTTGTCGAGTGGTCTTGCACTGTTGCAAACTCCTGGTGCCATAAATAAACGAATAAACCACGGTGCATCGGGGGAAAAACGGTTTAATAGTTGGGGGATTAATGTTTTAGTTCGTCGGAGTTTGGGTTTTGAGAGGGAGAGATAAGTGGTTGTTAAATCGTATGAATCTATTTATTTCCCACATTGTTGGGAAAAATTCAAACTCCACAATTTTTTTTTCATTAAAAATATCACAGTAATTGATCATTTTTCCAATTTTATTCCCCCCAACAAAAATCCGACGACTTTTTAATATTATTTTTAATTTACACAATACATTCATCCCTCAAATTCAACGAAAATAAATGTAATTGGAATTTTAACATAAATTTATAGAATTCTCAAAATTGTTAATCTTCTATTTTGTTTATCATTTACGGAGTGGAAATAGAAGAAAAAAATTCACGTTACGAGAAAAATAATGATCGGAATTCAATTTCAATAAAAAATAAATTGGGCAATGAATTATTACGATTATGATTATTCTATTATTTCACAATGGAATTTTCAATTGACTTTGAAGATGGCAATTAGAAAAAGCGATAAAATTTCAATCTTTTGTGGTCAACCAGTGAACGACAGAAAAATGTGAACACCAAAGTACTTGATAATTAATTGTTTGGATTGCACTGAGGATGGATAGTTATACCCCTAGTTTCGATTCATCTAGTTAGTTGTTAGATAACCCACTTGCAAAGACCATCTCATGAATAAGAAGATGGAGAAATGCAGTTGTGGCTCGTGTCGCAGGGCGACGGCATCACCAACAATTTTATTTCTGTCGGTGAACGAATGCAAGTATAAGTCTTCGCTCAATAAACCGAGCTTCCCCGATGCTATCGCGTACGAATAATTCCATTCCCCAGGCCCTTTTATTGGGCCGTTGAAGTTCAGCAACTAAAAGAGATCGAAATAAAAGACTAAAAAAATCATTTATCTCTCCCAAATACTCCATTTGATCGAGATAACCAATCGAACTCTCTGGATTTCCCCAATCGAGCCAATCCCAAAGGTTTCACCCATGACAATTACATTTCTCCATACAACCATCACCTGAATTATGATCTTGAATGTAGACCAGTAATTATTGACATGAAATGCCCAATCGGAATTTTTATCTCCAGAAAATCCTGGATTTTCGGGGATTTCTCTGGATCGAAGAGAAATAGCGATTTTTCGGTGAGAACCTTTTTTGTACGTTGGAATTTCCGGCGCAAAATTGATTTTGAAGAAAATTTTTGTATTTTTTCGGGATTGAGAGATATTCGGGGAAAACCGCAAGAGAAAAAATTGAGGTGGAGGATTTTATCGGTTATTGTCTCATTAGATGGAAAAATTTATTGGGAGTAATGACTACTCCGGTTCCATACCGATGGTCTCGTTACACGAACGAGAAATTCCATTTACGGTGTGATCAACCATACCTTTGCCTCAAGGAAATGCTCGTGTCAGTGAAACATCGAGACTGAATCATCGGCGCAATAGTGAATCACACGCATTGCTCTCCATACACCATGAGACCAAAAGTTTCACCCAGTGGATTGCAACACGCAATGAACCTTTTTCAGAGTTGTATGCATTACAGTGAATTAAATAAAACCAGTGGGAATTTAAACTTATTCGTATGCATTTTAAACTCGTGCATCATTACCATTTTATTCTCTCGTTAAATTAAAGTTGATTAAACGAAAATTTCGAAAGCCTTCCACTCAGTTGATTCACGATTTACCGGAAAAATTCGTGACAACTGTCAAGTTCAGACCAATTATTCCACGTGAAATTTCAATTGTAATTTTCCTCTAAACGTCATTTTAAATGGCGTAATTTCCATGATTTTCAACGCGGTTATTATACAATATTCAAACATGTCCCATAGTAACTATTCACATGTCCACAGTAATATTACCTGCACATAGAAATTTCCACGATTTCATTTAAATTAAAGTATGCAATTGTTTGTAGCTTCCAATGCATGTTAATGCTTACTATGCGACATGGTAATTGCAGAATATTTAGACATGTCCTATAGTAACCACTCACATGTCCACAGTAATATTACCTGCACATAGAAATTTCCACGATTTTATTTAAATTAAAGTATGCAATTGTTTGTAGCTTCCAATGCATGTTAATGCCTACTATGCGACATGGTAATTGCAGAATATTTAGACATGTCCTATAGTAACCACTCACATGTCCACAGTAATATTACCTGGACATGGGAATTTTTAGTTTAATTTACCCGATGCATGCGGTTGTTTGAGACATCCATGGCATGTTCACACTTACTACGTAAACCCAGTAATTAAATAATAATATTTGATGATGTCAATAGTGTCAATAACTAAACATGAAAATTAAAAAAATGGAATTTAACCGGTGTATGTCGTCATTTGGCACATTCACGACATGTCACCACTTACTGTGCAGCGCAGTAATTAGAGAATATTTGATTATGCCCATAGCATCATTAACATGCCAATGAAGAAAAAAAAAATGGAATTTAGCCGGTGCATGTGGTTGTTTGGGACACCCGGGGCATGATCCGCCTCTGGTTGTCTCGACATACGCGACTTTCTAGGAAGAAGCCTGACTTAACCAGCTATAATCACGCTCCCTGGCTCTTTCTCTTCACTCCGAGTATACACAAAAATGTATCCGTATAGGTGACGAGTTTGAGTGTAAGAGGGTATCGTCTCGAATGTTGGTGATGCGGGTTTGAAAACTCGCACGACGCAGCAAAAAAAGAAGACAGAGAGTAAAATGAATGCCCTAGCGATGCCCGAGTAAGAGTCTTCTTTAGCGTGTTGGAATATAACTCAGGATGCAACGACCGTTGGGAGAACCTCGGCAGAGTGTACGTGTCTGCCTACCACCGGTTTATAAGGTGATTGCACCAAGACCCAACGAATCCCCAGGGCAAGAGCCATTAATAGGACTTTATTAATTTCCATATCCACAATACCATAATGCCACTGAATCGAGTTGATTAATCCGGCATTATCTCTAATTATTCAAATTGCTCGTTACACTATCATTTTTTTTTTTCACTTTCCATTGATATTTTGGGCATCAGTTGATGACCAGACATTCATCTAGTCCCAGAACGCGTAATTAGTCGATTATTAACGCCCAAGTAATCTCGAAAATTCAACGGTTTATCGTTTCCCGACGAATAACTCCGTTTGACCGTCAGTTTTCAATGTATTTTGTACCACCAGTTTCTCTCTCATCACCAGTTCCCCTATATTATATATCGTCTGGTCCCGACCAGGCGAATATCTTCTTCTTGCCAGAACTCGAACAGATACTGAGTCATGCACGAGTAAAAAAATCGCCAATTCAACCGGAATATTTACTGATAGCTGCACGTCAGTATAAATAAAATATGAAGTTTTAATTTATTGGTTATTAATTTGCTCAACCCTCGGATCCAATGGAATTCTATCACCCGAGAGTCGCTTGATTGAGAAGGATTAATTACAGACTTCAAGAGACGGACTTGATGAGTTCCGCATTATTCGTCTCTTGTTCCGGGAAAGCGATGGTTTAGGTGTAATGAGGGGCAGAATTGTTATTCAATTACTCAGATGTTAATAGTGACGAGTTTAGAAATTTATCAATATTTATCTGTGCAACAGATAAATTTAGGGTAAATGTCTAGAAGAAAGCCGCCAAATTTAGTTAGAATGTTGAAGATGAAAAACAGTCAGGGGAATATTTCACTGAATTAGAAATTCGTTGGAATTTCATTGAACAGTTGATTTGAATGATCAGGTGTCGGACTTTTTTTCAGATTAACTTGAAGGAAAAACTGGGGACTATTTGATTTTTAAGTGACAAGATTTCCTGAAATTACAAAGGAATTGAGATAAGAATTCTCTAAAGTATGTATGACCGTTCTATTTATTCCGAGTGACTGAGAGAAATGAAACAATTCCTTTCTCGAAAGAAGAAGAGAGAATAAGTCGAGAAGTTTAATACAACTTTTTACAGGAAATAGAAAGCACCGCTAAAACTAAATGCTCAACCTATTCTCCAGGTCTTGACGTGATTATCTGTTCCCATGAATGCCAATAACTTTTTTCTTCTTCCACCGCTTCTTAGTCGTAACAATTTTCTGGTTGATGCGTTTCCTAATCACATCCCGTCATTGCAATTATAAATGCTCGCATTAAAGTCATTTGCTGAGTGATGCCTCAAGCCCATTCAGCGATAAATTATTACCACTTTATAGATCAATTAACTCCAGTGTTCATTTAGTTGTTGATGTTGAACTCTGTCGTTGAAATAATCAATCATGAAAAATAATTTGTTCGACTGGGAAAAAATTGCTCTTTTCATTTTCAGTAAAACAGTATCAACCTCTTATCACCCACATTTTTCCATTCATCTGTATTTACTCAAGTGAGCAGTAGCTTTGAAAATCACAAAAAATGCGCCATTCTCAATTAAAAAAAAATCATTTTCAATTTTCGTCCAAGTACTCATAAAAAAAATTGGCAATCCCCCCCCCCCCCCCCAAAAAAAAATAACTCCGACTCTTCCCACTTGACAACTCCACAAAATATATCCCGAATCTCTAAAAATTACATAAAGCCCTTAAAAAAATTAAAAATAAAAAAACCAAAGAATAACCCGCGAAACCCACGAAACCCGCGAAACCCGCGAAACCCGCGAGATCCGAGAGACCCGCGAAATGTGTGAAATCCACGAGACCCACGAGTGCAATAAACACCTGTCAAAAAAAAAAAATAAACAAATCAATGCCCCACAACGATCAACCCCCGTATCAATCCCCCCCCCCCTCTCCCCCTTCCTTAAACAATTCACAAACAATTACTCGAAATGCAACGAAGCATTATCCGACTGCTTGTAGTCGGTGGAAGTCATAGAGCACCGAGAATTTATACTCTGGGGCGCCCAGTGGGATCGATACGCACGACGATTATTTCGGGAGCATGCCGACTCCCTCCCCTGTTACCACCCTACCACCCAACCCCTCCCCCTTAACCCCTGGAACCCCCCTCCCCCCCTCGACCACCCCCCTCGCCAATGGCAATCGTCCTCTCACTCTCGTTCCTCCATACGGACGTTGGAGACCCTTTTTCATCCCCTGGGGACCTAGAGTGAACACAGAAAATGGAAACCCGACTGCGACGCCTCGATGAGCCGCTTCGAAGAACCCGCACCACCCCATCGTAAAATCCCCCTATTTGTTCTACTCTCTCTTTCCGTCACTTGAAAAAGCCCCCAGCGCACGCTTTTTCGTACCGTTTGCAACGAATCGATATCTATTGACGCGAGAAACACCCACACAAGGAGAGAGAAAGAGGGAGGGGGGGGGGGGGGGGGGGGGGGGGGGGGGGGGGTAATACTGTTTTAAGTTATATGCGTCATCGGTGAGACAAACCACGAGGTAAAATCATGCAGATATCAACGGCAAATGGCAAAAGAGGAATTCATTGTACTCGTTTTAATTAATTTCAATTGCAAGAAGATTTCATCATACTGGACTGACAGCAGAACTTGAGTCAATCATCGGAAATCTGAGTCAATGGGAAATGCATCTGAGATTTGAATCCTTTTTTTTTGTGAATAAATTGCTATCGGTTTTTTTAATTTTTTTTTTTTTTTGAGTTGTCATTGCAAGTGGTAATGGTAGTTGAAATTCATTACGGATCATTTGGTGAATATTAATTTTGTGATTCAATGGAATTCTTGGGATTGGAGATTTGTTTGGATCAATGGGAATTGTTGGAGAGTTAATTGAATGTAATGAATCATTATCATGCGTTCGTTGAGCTTCAAAAAAATTTGTAGTCTAATCGCACTTATCATGATGTAATTTTTGTTAAGTGTATTGATGTGAATCATTGTGGGCTTTTTGTCGGTCGTATCGTTAGAATTGAATGGACATTACCATTTAAAAATCGTGAGCATTTTGAAAGGTAGGAAGAATTCAGAAAAAGTGGGAGTTGTAAGTGAAATTGTACGAATCACCACGTGAATTTTTTTTACTCCGTAAAAATTATCCATTCATCTGATGATTCACAGCTGTGAGAACAATAAGTCGTCATTTTTACCCAACAATTGAGGAATTTTATGAAATACAACGCAGAAGTCCCTAGATTTGTAGAGATTGTCAGATGTTCAAGAATTTATTATTCTCCACACACAAGTCGAGAGATTTCTGTTGAATTCTACTTCTTCAGGAAAACCACGCGAAGAGTAATAACCCAAAAAAAAAGGTGAAATTGATGCGACAAAAATGTCAATGGCAGAAATCTAATTGATTTTGAATCAAGTGAAATAAAAATTGGCGAAAGTCAAAGCAAATCGTAACCCCCTCCGAAGACTATCTAATAATTACCTCATTACTCTAATTATCCGTAATTATCCATTACAGCAGACCCTCGTCTGGGCGTTATCGAGTGATCGATTACAGCACGTATTTATGACGCTTTAACAACAGTTGTGATAAAAATGAGAGGGGGAAAAACAACAATTACGTGTTTTCCAACGACTATCCGTATTAATCCAACCCTTTCATGGCTAAAAATCACTTCGGTTACATTAACGAGGCTTTACCTTCCTGAATTAATTACACACAAGTCTTTAATCCAGAAATAAATCGACACAAAACTACTGACCATCTTTCATCGGCAATAACTCGATAACTACAGAGTGGAATTTGTGGATTTTTTTTTCATGTCCAAGGTTTTTTTACGCGCTTTGAAATAAACCGTGACTCGTCAAAATCGAATCACTGGGTCATGAAATGTCGTGGATTAAACACGTCCCATCAACTCCAGCCTCTATTTTCGAGTGAAAAACATCTGAATCTCGGAATCCTCATATATTTCTCAACGTATACTTCAATCACCTTGACTATTATATTATAAGATATATCATCCTTTATTATATTCAGAAGAATATGATTAAAATTCCGCTATTTCTGTTGAATTGAACGGGATTCGACAAACTGAAAAGATGCGAATGCCAACCCATCAAAAGTTTTCGAGGAATATCTCATAATCTACTAGTTCCATCATAAATTTCATTAGAACCTTTTCCATAGCTCTCATAAAACTTCACAAAATATATCCTGACAAAAATTCCGCTATTTCCCTTCAATTCGCCGTGATTCCTCAAAAACTGAAAACAGGCGAGTGCCCAAGTCCTCAAAAACCCTAATTATTGCAGAATATCTCATGGTCCTATCAAAATTTTCGTTGAAACCTTGTCCACAGCTCTTACAGAATCCAAAAAATACGTTCTCAGGAAATCCCTATCTCTCCCAAACCCCTATCTATCTCAAACCGATCACCGCGGATCCATTCCACAAGGGAAATGAGAGCTCAAAAGAAAATCATGAGGAATTCCAACGCATCGGATGGCGATGTAATGTCGCCTCGTCGTTGGTGATTAGTCACACAGTCCTATCTTCTGTCTCCAACGAAACATCGGAGGATCGATTCCGCAAGCGCAAACGAGCCTCAACCAAAAAAGAAAACACAACAACAAAAAAAAAAGCCGAGAGAAAAATCCAAAAAGATCGCGATCGCCTTGTGGCGATGAGAGCCGATTGTAAAAAAAAATATATATAACCCGATGAAAAAAGTATGAAATAAAAAAACGGGAGGGGGGGGGGGGGAATAAAAAAGGAAACAGTTGAAATAAAACATTTCGCTCTCTGGAGCTGGGGAAAAAGGGAGAGAGAAAGAGAGAAAGAGGACTGGATTCCTTTTCCGACAAAGGAAGAACCGTTGGGCGTTTGCGAACCGGTCACGCACCAACGCCACCGTTTGCCTCCTCAAATCCCCCGGTTAAAATAACGTCCACGAGTCCATTCCCATCATCTCCACATACCCCAAGAGTAAAGCCACAAATTAACAAAATCCTCACCAACAGATTCAACTCAGTACAACTGACAAACACCCGATAATTGAGGCCATTAACGGTTAAAAAAAATATATATATGAAAATAACAGCCGGAGCAAAACAATCTCTACCTCCCTTCCCTCAAGGATCATGTAAATCATTAAATTCACCTGACGTTGCTGCGTAGAAATCGCCGATTTATCTTCAATAATCTGGGACTTGCGCAGGTGTACGGCCTCCACCAAAAAATATCACTAAAAGAAACATCCACAACACAAATGAAATCACTGAAATTAATCCACAGCGACACTACAACTTCAACTCCAACAATCACACACGATTTTCAGAGATTTTCTCTCCTTTTTTTTTACGTCCAGAGCACGAGGCGAACTCTCACACTAGATCATCACTGTTTTCCATGCAGTGGAATTGTTTTTTTTCATTTTCACGGGCTTTTTTTTTAATTTGTGAAAAAAACGGGTACACGGAACTCAGAGAGTCCACACGCCACGACCGACGATGGCGGAATGACCCGAGCGACGCTCGTGGCGTCCGCACGAAACTACCCTCCCCCATTGCCTCTCACCCCCCCTCTTTACTCGTTGCACGGAACAACCGTTCCCCTCCCCCTTCTC